GCCCCGACACACAGATTGCCAGAGGAATGGCTTCAAACTTCACGCACTGCTTTGTGTTTGTGAAGACCGCCGTGGCTTCGGTGAGGTGCCGGCTGCACTGTGACATGTCTGACGTCATCATCGTGCACAGCTCCGCCCAGCCCTTCACACCCAGGTCCAAGCTGCAGGCGTTGGAGACCAGGCACAAGGCCAGCCCAGCCACCAAGGGGTTATTCTCAGATGAGCTCCTAAGAGACGATTTTTTTTTTGATTCGTCCCTCATGAACTGGAGGAGGTGCCCAGCTATCATCTCTGACACCTGCACAGAAAGATGGATTTTGCCCAGCTCAGTGGCGCTTTGTGGGAGTTCATCATTCCGGCAAATTCGGGATGGTGCACCTACCTGGATTGGAGGGGGTGTGGAGAAATCTGGGTAAATCAGCCGCTGATGGATATGCTGGTAACCCTCCTGGTAATGTTTTAAGGTTCTGACAAACTGTTCAATGCTCTGTTGTTCGAGTTTTGGAGGCCATTTTTGAAAGATGCGGTCCAGCAATATTCTAGCAGAGCTGAACCACATATCCAGGGTAACGCCCACTTTTTTGTGGGAAGTGAAGCCAGTTATAAATCCAAAGAGTCCCCATTCCTCAGGAGTTATGTGACCCTCATAAAGATGTAATTCTGAGCAAAAAGACACAGAAAACTTCTCTGAATACCAAAACATAGAACTTTCCAGAACAGGGTGTTAAAATCATATTAAATTTGAGATACACATATGCATTTGTGAGTTCTACACAATTATGGCCTTGCACAATTGTTACCTTTCATTTGAGGGTTACACGGTATCAGTATAGATCTTTTGCCAGTTTCTATACTCAGCTTCCCTTGCTTCTTAACACCATACCAATACTGCACTGGCTGACCCCATGGAAAGTTCTTTTCTTCCACCAAAAAACGGGCTTCAGTCAGGTAGCCTTGCTGACCCATTTCACTGAAAGACAGACAGCATCTGGTTATAATGCTTGACTTTCATAATGTCTTATACTACACATTCATAATGCATTCATAGAACATTGCTAACATCCTAACACACCTTAAGAGCTGTTATTGACATTAATAACAAACATGATATGATTTACAGTTATGTATGTTATTAATGTAGGCTGCAGTACTCATGTCTTGTTCATTGAAAGTATTATGAATCCAATTATTAAAGACATGTTAGAGTATACTTAAATGCTGCTTATGGATGCTCTATGAAAGCATTATGAATGCATTATGAAGGTGCAGTTAATGTACAGCGTTACCAAACACTGCAGCCTCACAACTCCAGGACTGCAGGTCTTTCTCACACCCGTGGCTCCGCGTGTGTGTGAGCAGTTTTCAGGGTCCTTACAGGGACCCCAGTTACCTCCCACACTTCAAAAACATGCAGTTTGGTAAACTGGTATGTGTGTGTGCATGTGTGTGTGCGCGCGTACCTGCACGTGTGCGTCCCCAAATGTCCCCAAATCATCCTCAAAGATGAGAACAGCAGTGAAGGGGGGGTATTAACACTGTCCCCCTGCCCGTGCCGTGGCCTCTCTGTGTGCCTGAGTTTGCATGTTGTCCTGTACAGGTGAAGGTTTCTCCTGCGAAGCCCCTTCTGAGTCCTGAGACACACACTTTAGGTCTCTCTAAAT